CAAAGGGCGTGTGAGATATACTGATCAGATGTTACAGTGGTGACGCATCAGTGAAGAAGGTGAAGCTTCAGTCCCTATGAAAGCAATATAAGAATCTCAACATGAAGAACAATGAAAAGGTTTATGAGTACATCTCTAGAGTGATTCTGATCACTAATAAGATGTAAGCTTGTGGAGAAACCCTTTATGAATAAGTAATCATTGAGAAGATATTGAGGTCACTTATTCCTAAATTTGATTAAATTATTGTAGAAATTAAACATTTTAAAGATATGGAAACCATGAGAATATAAGAGTTGCAAATCACTTCAGAGGCGCATGAGTTGTGTCTGACTGAAAGAACTTTTAAGAGGGAAGTTGAGCAGGCTCTGAAGGCTTCTTTTGTCAAGAATATCTAGAAGCATTCTTGGTCAGAAACCAAGAATAAACTTGGTGATAGATTCCAGAAGTCAGAAACTTCTACTTTCGATGAGAAGAAACCTCAGAAGGGTAAGGGGAAGTTTGACAAGAAGAAGGTTCAATGTTATTTTTGTAAGCAGTTTGACCATTTTGCTAAAGATTGTTGGTCAAATAAGGGAAGGAAATCAGAAGAAGCAAATATACCCAGAGGAGATTCTGATGATGAACATGTGTTATTGATGGCTTCTGAGTCTGATGGAAAGTGTTTGGATGACTGGTGGTATATGGACACTGGATGTTTAAATCACTTGACTGGAAACAAATAATGGCTGATAGATTTTGACTCCAGAAGGAGGACAAAATCAGATGTGCTGGTGATAAGTACCTTAATGCAGAAGGTACGGGAAATGTCAAAGTTAAAGTGAAGAATGGGAAGACTGTTCTGATCAAGGATGTTCAGTATATTCCTGGAATTAAGAGCAATATGATGAGTGTGGGTCAACTCATTGAGAAAGGTTGCTAAGTTATTATGAAGGATAATATCTTGAAGTTGTATGATTCCAATAAGAAGATGATTATGCAATCTGAGTAGGGAAGAAATAGAAGATTCAAGGTGAATGTGGAGACATCAGAAGCAGAATTTCTTAGTTCAGAAGACGTTGAAGCTGATAGTAAGTTGTGGCACAAGAGGTTGGGGCATCTGAACTACATAAGCTTAGGGCATCCGAGTTCTAACAAGCTCATACGTGGAATTCCAAAGATTGTAAAGCCAGAGAAATCATGTGAGGTATGCATGAAAGGAAAGCAATCCATATTTTCATTTGTGTCAGAAGTAGTTGCAAGAGCAAAACATGCTTTGGGAGTAGTGCATCCTGGTGTGTGTGGACCATTTCCAGAACCATCACTTGGAGGAAATAAATATTTTGTGTCTTTTATGGATGAATTCACAAGAATGACATGGGTAACACTCATCAAATTTAAACATGAGGTGTTTACCGAGTTTCAAAAGTTCAAGGTGAAGGCTAAGAAACAAAGTAGTCAAAAGCTGAAGATTCTCATAACGGATGGTGAAAATGAGTATAACTTTACAGAATTCCAAAAGTTCTGTGATGAGAATAGAATTGAACAAGAGGTTAGTGCTCCTTATACTCCTCAACACAATGGTCTTGCTGAAAGAAGAAATCATACTTTACTTGATATGACCAGAAGCATGCTGAAAGAGAAGAAGCTACCTCATAACTTGTGGGGAGAAGTTGTAGCCACGCCAGTATATGTGCTCAACAGGTGTCAAACAAAGAAGCTGAAGGAAATTGTTCCTTTAGAAAATTGGACTGGAGACAAGCGAAGTATTAGTCATCTGAAGGTGTTTGGTTCTGCATGTTACAAACACATTCTAGAAGCTAGAAGGAATAAGCTGGATGATAGAAGCAAAGTAATAATTCTGGTGGGGTACCACAGTACAGGTGCATACGAGCTTTATTGTCCAGAAATGAATAAAGTTGAAGTCAGCAGAGATGTCATTGTAAAAGAATCAAAAGTATGAGATTGGAGCAAGTCTCAATCTACTTCTAAAAATAAGTCACAACTTGATAGTTTTGAATAAGAGTCAGAGTCAGATGATGATTCTGGAAACTCTGAAGATGAGTCAGATGGTGAATCTAATTCTGATCCAGATTTTGATGACGATCCAAAATTTGGTGGTGGTCATGCTTCTGGAAGGAAAAACTCTGAAGACGTAGATTCTGGAGGACAAGATTCTGAAGATGATCATGTTTCTGGTGAAGGTCATGATTCTGAAGGTGGAACTTCAAAAAGTAGAGGTTCTGAAAGTGATCCAACTTCTGAAGGTGGTCAAGTATCTAATACTGTTCCAGAATTTGAAAGAGTTTTTGAACAAGTTCCGAGGCCACAAAGAATCAGACGAATTTGGTGTGCCATGTTAGTAGACTCTGAACCCGTGAGTGTTGAAGAAGCTTTCAAGAAGAAAGTATGACTGAATGCCATGAAAGAAGAACTTGAGGCTATAGAAAGAAACAAGACCTGGAAGTTGACTAAGCTTCCAGATAAGAAGAAAGTCACCAGCGTCAAATGATTTTCAAGGTGAAGCTTAAGCCAGATGGATCAATTGGAAAGCACAAAGAAAGGCTAGTTTCGAGAGGTTTTCTTCAGAAACCTTGGCTAGATTACTTTGAGGTATTTGCGCATGTAGTTAGATATGAAACAAAATCAGACTGGTGATTGCTTTAGCTGCAAATAGAAATTGGCTCATGATGCATTTGAATATGAAGTCTGCATTTCTGAACGGTCCATTATAAGAAGAGGTGTATGTGTCATAACCTCCTGGATTTGTAAAAAAGAATCAGGAAGGGATGGTGTACAAATTACATAAAGCTCTGTATGGATTGAAGCAAGCGCCTAGAGTTTGGAATTTGAAGATTGATTCATTTTTCAAGAAGCAAGATTTTCATAAGTGTGAGATGGAGTATGGAATGTGTGTTTAACATTCTGAAAGCAATATGATTCTGGTATGTCTTTATGTTGATGACATATTGCTGACGGGAAGTTGTTCTGAAGAAGTTGTCAAGTTCAAGAAGACTCTGGTGAATGAGTTTGAGATGACTGACCTAGGAAAGATGGTTTACTTTCTAGGGATGGAGGTATTATACTTTGAACAAGGTATAATTTTGCATCAGCTGGAGTATGAACTTGAGCTTCTAAAGAAATTCAAGCTGGAGAATTGTAAGGCCGCTGTTACACCGTTAAAAACCAATCATAAATTGGATTCTGACTCTGAGGGTGAAGCGTGGATGTTACAACGTTCAATCAGTTGATAGGTTCTCTGAGGTATTTGTGTAATACCAGACCTTACATTTGTTATGTGGTTGAATTGGTTAGTAGGTTCATGAGTAAACCTAAGTTATCCCATTACCAAGCTACTGTCAGGATTCTAAGATATATCAAAGGAACTCTGAAGTTTGGAGTACTATTCCCTTCTGGAAGAAAAACAAATTCAGAGTTGATGAGTTATTCTGATTCCGATTGGTGTGGAGATAGAGTTGATAGAAGAAGTACTTCTGGATACTTGTTTAAGTTTCTGAGAGGTCCTATTTCTTGATGTTCTAAGAAGCAATCTGTTGTTGCTCTATCAACGTCTGAAGTTGAGAATATTGCAGGTGTTGTCGCTGCATGTCAAGCTGTGTGGCTTCTGGATTTATTGAAGGATATGAAGATCAAGGTAGATAAGCCGCTAAAGCTGATGATTGATAACAAATCTGCAATCAATCTTGCTAAGAATCCAGTACTACACGAGAGAAGCAAGTATATTGAGACAAAGTATCATTTTCTCAAAAGTCAAGTTCAAAACGGAGTACTAGAAATTGTGCACTGTAACACCCAGATGCAATTGATCAATATCATGACAAATGCAATCAAGACGAATCAATTTCTTTGCTTAAGGAATGGAATTGGTGTAGTTAGTTTTAATTAGAAATCTTAAATTAAGGAATGGTATTAAAGGGTATTTTAGTATTTTTAATTGTTTTGATAACTTAGTCATTTAGTCTATTCTATTAGGGTCTATGTGACATTCATTTTCTTTGTGTATAAATAGACTAGTTGTAAATATCATAAACAACGACATTTTTATTCCTCTTGCAGTGTTTACGGATGTCATTCCTTTTGCTCTCTTAAATTCATTTTTGTTCATAATTGATTCTTGTGCACTAATAGATTTTCCGAGGAAGAAGTAATTCACATTCTTTTGTTGCACTGAAAAGTCCAATTTCATTAAACTGAAGCTTCCTGTTGAGCACGATGAGGAAGACAATCTCAGTTCCTATGAAACTTTGAACACTTGTTGATCAAGATGAAAAAGATAATGATGGTGCAAGAACTTTTTTGAGGCGGCGAAAAACAATACGGTCCCTTTATGTAAATGATACAATGTTAGATGAGAAAATCTCATGATGAAGATGAATGCATTCATGGAAAAGTTGAGAGATGAATCAAGCTTTGCTTGTTACAAGTATATTTCTCATTACTTGAATGAAGCCTATGACTTCTATATTTATATTTATACATTGCATACATGTGTTAGGAGTTAGTTATTGAAGTGTAATAAACTTAACTAACTTTTTAATCACCACCTATCTTAACTAATTAACCATACTCTAATAAACCCGATAAAATAAATTAAGTTTTTTGACACAAATAAAATAAATTAATTAATTTTTCTCATTCATATTTTTGTTTGTGTTGATGGATTGTAGATGTTGTTGTTGGATGTGTTATGTTTTTGAATTTGATTTAATTTAATTGATTGTTTATTTTTATTTAGTAGTTGGAAGCTCTTGGTACAATTATGATATGAATGGAAACAACAAAAATAAAAATAAAACGCCTAATAGTAATTGTTATCTTGTGGATTAAAAAATAAAAGTTCTCGAAAAGTTGGCACATGTCCATAAAACACTCCTTAATCACCACGTGTGCTACACAGAACCAAACAAACAACAATTGGACAATAATGTTTGTCTTGTTCTATATATCAAAGGATGGGACAAGAGATGTTGGTGTAACTTGTAAGGCAAGAAAGGAAGAAAATGGAGAAGCAAAATGTGAGAGAGGAAAGAAAGGGAACTAGTGATGCAGGTAAAGGAACCATTGAAGGGCTTGCAATTGAGCATAGTCCTTATTTGAATTACAAGGATTTGGAAGATTATAAAAATCAAGGTTATGGTACTCAAGGTCATCAACAACCAAAGGAAGGTCGTGGACCTGGTGCAACTGAGGCACCTACTCTTTCTGGTGCTGATGTTTCTTCTCAGGGACAATTAAAGGCTGCTGATGGTGGTCATAGGAAATCAGTTCCTTAAAATATTGTCCATAGATTATTATATTTTCTAAGTTTGCATTTATTTTTAGTGTTTTCTTTTGGATGTATAATATATTTTGCATGTTGTATTGAATGTATTTGTTTTTTTTTTCTAATTTAGAGGGTAGGTTACTTTTTGAAGCCTATAGTTGGTAGTTTATCTAATTATTGTTACGATTGCCTTAGTAACATGATATAGCATTAAAAAACGGGCAACAATATGAAGTTGAGGTAAAATTGGGGGGATTGAATCAACATGGTTGATTAAAGCAACCATATAATAGGCTATGTTGTATTAACACTAAAATTTGGCTGATATTTATACAGCGAACAATAATTTTTTAATTTTTTTAAACATTAAAAATACTTTTAAAAAAAAAATTATAAAAAAAAATTATAAAAAATTATTTTATAACATAAGTATAAATTTATATTATTAATCAATTATCATTGTATTAATCATAAAATATATGTTATTAATCACTTATTTTTTACTAAAAATTTATTAATTATTTTTACTATTTCATTAACTGATTAAATATATAATATTAACTTTTTTCAGACATTAATTTATAAAATATATTAATCAATTTTAACACTCCATTAATTAAATTTATTTTATTATTTAAGATTTTTATAATTTTTTAAAATCTATTAATCAAATTATGAACTATATCAACAACTTTATATATATTGTTAATTAAAATTTATTTACTATGTAAGATTTTTTTGATGTCAGAATATTCATTAACTAAATTAAATTATATTGATTAATTTATTACACTCAATCAACTATTTTATTTTTCACTTAAAATTACTTTTAATAACAAGAAACATATTAACCAAACTATAAATTAAATTAATCAAATCTTTACACATTGTTAACTTAAGTTGTTTTGAAAAGAGAGAAGAAAATATATAACAAAGTCAAATCTTTACACATTGCCCCTTGAATTACAACTACTTCCTAAGGAGTGGCACATTTCTGTTCAACCCACCACCCACCTTTGTGAATGTAATCTTTTGCGCCAGGTGCATTATAGGTAAGATCTTCCATGGACCTCATCTTCACGCCCATGATTCCACTGTAAACGCCACCTACATACCAAAACCACCGAAAACCAATCCTCACTGTAACTCCTTATCTTCAGCAACTCAGTCACCCTGAAACCTTCACTTCAACACCATACAACCAGGATCTGACACTCTTAACATCAAGTTTCGGCCAACTCAGCTCCGAACTTTAACACGGTGATTGTCAAATTGGCCCTTTATGCAGCTCATATTGGTTGGCCCATGCTAGTTATGCAGCCTGTTTACACTTTTGTTATTGGAAATTTCTTTTTTCACCTTCTAAGAGCCCGGGTGAAAAACCTCTATGTTTTCTAGGAGCCTTAAGGTGAAAAACTTAAAAAACCCTCAAATTTAATATATGCATACCCGAATTTATCACATTTCAGTTTTTTAGGATTAGTTCAAATTATTAGAGGGTAATTTAGTATTTTGTTAGTTAAAGATAAGTTTACAATTAGGGCCTATGTGGCATTATTATTTTGTGTATAAATAGGTGTATTAGGATTACATTTATATCAATCAATTCTCCAATCATTTGCAGTCAGCTTTATGCATTTATTCCCTTTCATCTTCTTCCTCAAATTCATCACATTTGCACTAACAAATTGGTATCTAGAGCTCTTGGTTTGATTCTGAAACTCTGGGAAACACGAGTGATAGTGAGCTGTGTGTTTGATTTTTGATTCTTGAACAAAAATCTGAAACAGAATCACACTGATTCTGTGGGTTTGGGAAACACTGAGTGAGAATCTGAGATTTGAGTTTTTTCTGTGCAAAGGTTTAAGATGAATGGAGGCAGTAGTTTAAACACTAAACTTCCAGTTTTTGATGGTAAAAACTGGAACAGATGGAAGATTCAAATGAGTGTGCTGTTTGGTGCTCAGGATGTTCTGGACCTTGTCTCTGAAGGTTATGTTCCAGCAGCAGCTGATGCTACTGTAGAACAGAAATCAGAAGAAAAAGCTACAAGGAAGAGGGATCAGAAAGCACTGTTTTTCATCCATCAGTGTGTGGATGAAAATGTGTTTGAGAAGATTGTTGATTCGACGACGTCGAAAGGGGCATGGGATATTCTGACCAGATGTTATGGTGGAGATGTATCAGTAAAGAAGGTAAAACTTCAGTCCCTGCGAAAACAATATGAAAATCTCAGCATGAAAAACAGTGAGAAAGTTTCTGAATACATTTCCAGATTGATTCTGATTACTAATGAAATGAAGGCTTGTGGAGAAGCACTTTCTGAACAGGTAATCATAGAAAAGATTCTGAGGTCACTTACGCCTCAGTTTGATTATATTGTTGTTTCTATTGAACACTCTAAAGATCTGGAAACCATGAGAATAGAAGAGTTGCAAAGCAGTCTAGAAGCACAAGAGTTGCGTCTGACTGAAAGAACTTCTGAGAGGGAAGTGGAGCAAGCTCTGAAAGCTTCTTTTGTCAAGAAGGACCAGAAGCAGAATAGACATGGTGATAAATTCCAGAAGTCAGAAACCTCAACTTCTGATGAAAAGAAATATCAGAAGGGAAAGGAAAAGTATGACAAGAAGAAGGTTCAATGTTACTGCTGTAAACAGTTTGGGCATTTTGCCAGAGACTGTAGAAACAAAGGAAGAAAATCAGAAGAAGCAAATATAGCCAGAGAAGATTCTGATGATGAACCTGTGCTACTGATGGCTTCTGATTCTGATGGAAACTGTTCAGGAGATTGGTGGTATATGGACACTGGCTGTTCAAATCACTTAACTGGGAACAAACAATGGCTGACAGACTTTGACTCCAGAAGGAGAACAAAGATCAGATGTGCTGATGATAAGTACCTTAATGCAGAAGGTATGGGAAATGTCAGAGTCAGAGTGAAGAATGGAAGAAACATTCTGATCAAAGATGTCTGGTACGTTCCTGGAATTAAAAGCAATCTGATGAGTGTGGGTCAGCTTGTTGAGAAAGGTTTTTCAGTGGTTATGAAGGACAACCTCTTGACGTTGTACGATTCTAATCAGAAGATGATTATGAAGTCTGAGCAGGGAAGCAACAGAACATTCAAAGTGAATGTAGAAACCTCTGAAGCGGAGTATCTCAGTGCAGAAGGCGCTGAAGCAGACAGTAAGTTGTGGCACAAGAGGTTGGGGCACTTGAACTATAGAAGCTTAGGGCATCTAAGTTCTAAGAAGCTCGTACATGGCATTTCGAAGATTGTGAAGCCTCAGAAGTCATGTGAGATATGCATGAAAGGCAAGCAACCAAGATTGTCATTTGCGTCAGAAGTAGCCCCCAGAGCAAAGCATGCTCTGGGTGTAGTACATTCTGATGTGTGTGGACCATTTCCAGTAGCTTCACTTGGAGGAAACAAATATTTCGTGTCTTTTGTGGATGAGTTCACAAGAATGACTTGGGTAAAACTCATCAAGTTCAAGCATGAAGTGTTTACAGAATTCCAGAAGTTCAAGGTGAAGGCTGAGAAGCAGAGTGATCAGAAACTGAAGATTCTGAGAACAGATGGTGGAGGTGAGTATAACTCTACAGAGTTCCTGAAGTTCTGTGAGGAGAATGGAATAGAACATGAGGTTACTGCTCCATATACTCCTCAGCACAACGGTCTTGCTGAAAGAAGAAACAGAACTTTGCTTGATATGACCAGAAGTATGCTGAAAGAGAAGAAGTTACCTCACATGTTATGGGGAGAAGCTGTTGCCACATCAGCATATGTTCTGAACAGGTGTCCAACAAAGAAGCTGGAGGAAACTGTTCCTTTAGAAAAATGGAGTGGAGACAAGCAAAGTGTTAGCCATCTGAAGGTGTTTGGTTCTGTGTGCTACAAACACATTCCAGAGGCTAGAAGACGAAAACTGGATGATAGAAGCAAAACAATGTTACTGGTGGGGTACCACAGTACAGGTGCCTACAAGCTTTATTGTCCAGAAACCAACAAAGTTGAAATCAGCAGAGACGTCGTTGTGAAAGAGTCAGAAACATGGGATTGGAACAAGCTTCAATCAGATTCTGGTGTAGTGCTAACACCAGGGTTAGCTTCTGAAGACGAGTCAGAGTCAGAAGAAGAAGACTCTGAAGATGAGTCAGAATCTCAGGGAGATTCTGATAGTGGATCTGATTCTGATCCAGATTCTGATGATGATCCAGAATCTGGTGGTGATTTTACTTCTGGAAGGGAAAACTCTGAAGACATAGGGTCTGGAGAACAAATTGCCAGAAGTAACTCTGAAGGTGGTAATTCTGAAGGAAGTAGTTCTGGACAAGGTTCAGAAGCCAGTATTGTTCCGAATTCTGGAGAACCTTCAGAACAAGACCACAGGCCACAGAGAATCAGACGAATACCAAGTAAGTTTGCAGATTTTAGCATGTTGCATGATACTGAAGTAGATTCTGAAGGAGAAATCGTTCAGTGTGCCATGCTAGTAGATTCTGAACTAGTGGGTATTGAAGAAGCACTCAAGAAGAAAGTATGGCTGAATGCCATGAAAGAAGAACTTGAGGCAATTGAAAGAAACAAGACTTGGAAGCTGACAGAACTTCCAAAAGGCAAGAAAGCCATCAGCGTCAGATGGGTTTTCAAGCAGAAGCTAAAGCCAGATGGATCAATTGGCAAACATAAAGCGAGACTAGTGGCCAGAGGTTTTCTTCAGAAACCTGGACTAGATTACTTTGAGGTATTTGCGCCTGTAGCTAGACACGAAACAATCAGACTGGTGATTGCTTTAGCTGCAAACAGAAATTGGCCTTTGATACATCTGGATGTGAAGTCTGCATTTCTGAACGGTCCATTACAGGAAGAAGTTTATGTGTCACAACCTCCTGGATTTGTGAAAAAGAATCAGGAAGGGATGGTATACAGGTTAAGTAAAGCTCTGTATGGACTGAAGCAAGCGCCCAGAGCTTGGAATCTGAAGATTGATTCGTTTTTCAAGGAAC